TTTTGTAAACATCTATATGTAAGCAGTGAAAAAGTCGTAAAATTTTGGAAAGTTGTAATATAACTGAATTTTTGTGAACTAATGTAAATGATTTGCAACTGTTAATATATATCAAAAGAAGGGTAAATCGATTACCTTTCTTTTGATTATAATATTGTTAAAATCGCTAAAATATTTTATAGAAATTTTGCAACTTTTGTAAACATCTATATGTAAGCAGTGAAAAAGTCGTAAAATTTTGCAAAGTTGTAATATAACTGAATTTTTGTGAACCAATGTAAATGATTTGCAACTGTTAATATATATCAAAAGAAGTGTTAATCGATTACCTTTCTTTTGGTTGTAATATTGTTAAAATCGCTTAAATATTTTATAGAAATTTTGCAACTTTTGTAAACATCTATATGTAAGCAGTGAAAAAGTGTCAAATTTTGCAAAGTTGTGATAAAACTGCATTTTTGTGGACCACTATAAATTATTTGCAACTTTTTATATATATCAAAAGAAAGGTAAATCGACTACCTTTCTTTTGATTATTATATTGTTAAAATCGCTTAACCTTTTTATAGAAACCACATATGTATGTAAAAATATATTTATTAATGTTAATTACAATTTTTATACATAATATTGATTATTAGCTATGTATATTAGGTAATCAATGCATTTTGAAAATAAATTTTGCAAAATAATCAAAAAATTTTTGGATTTTTTATTTAAAGTTTCTAAGGTTATTTTGAATTCGCTGCGAAGAAAATGCAACCCTGCGCCGGCTGGAATGGGGCAATGCTAGACGAGTGCAGCGATATGTTTTCCTTAGGAAGTATCTGAATGAGTGCGACAGTGATGCAAGGCTCACACGTACAGGGGGAAACTGGTGAAAATCTGCACACCGCCCATACAAAGTTCACCAGATTTTTCACCAGTTTTGAAGTGAACGAAACCCGCGGTTTCACCAGATTTTTCACCACTTTTGGCTGGCAGGGATGTTGATCCTTCATTTCACTAATTATTTCCTCTTCCGCCACGTGTTCTAAGCAGGGTGAGTATATAACACCTCTTACCGAATTTAAGCTTTCGTGTAGTTTCACGCTAATAGGGCACAGGTTGGAAAAAGATTTAGGCCCCTAATATGAGTTACATTCGATCTTCGACTGTGGTCGAAAGTGCTGATCGAACGAATTTTCATTTGGTATTATGGCGCCCATTCGATGAAGAATAGCGCTATTGTGAACTTCGCTCGTTTATGTTGTTCACAATAGTATATTTTTCACCGCTGAGCTTTGTTTACAAATCGAGCAAACTAAATAGTGTGCTTATACATATTTGTGTAAATTTATGCAAATTAAAATGAAATAAAAAAGAAAGCAAGTTTATAAAAACATGGTAAAAATTAGTACAACGAAGTTCTGGGGTTCTACGATTCGTCAGAGGATGAGAGTTTAGTGAACTGGCCAGGAGTGGTAAATGTTTAAGAGAGTTTAAGTGTAGTCTACAATATATTTTTACACAAAATATATTTAAGAAATTTGTTTACAGATTTACTAAAAACTTCCGACTGTCTAAAAAGGCGTTTGTGACTCAAATCTATTTAAAATATTTTAAAACTATCCACAGCTCTATGATTTGTTCTCAGAGATCGTGCCAACTGAGTATTGGGATTTTCTTTTACATGTAAAAGCAGCCTTTCGAGCTTGTGTTTTGTAAAACTGCATGAAATTGATAAAAATTGTTTAAAATTAGTGTCTACCCGCCAAAAAGTAAGAAAACAAATGCAAAATAATACATTTTTCGCTACACCATCGAAAGCAAAATTCTGTTCCGACAGAAAATTCGATACTCAACGAAAATTTCGACACGGTTGCATAGCTCATAATACGAATTTCACTTTCGATCTTCGATAACTCATAATTAGGGCCTTAGCTTTTAGGAACTTTTCGGCAATTCGTTCGTTACGGGTTAATATAAGTACATTACCGTCGCGGAGTTGGGAAATTGAATCTTGTTCCGTTGAGAAAGATTCTATACATTTTTTAATAGAGAATGGGCTCAATTAAGATAGAGATTTGTTATTATCTGCGGATGATATCAGCCACATCACGACTTGAATCAGCTGGCGAACTATCTGCTAATAAATCGAAGACGATTTGATCATCTGGCTATCACCAAAACTCTAAATGATAAGAAAATCAACTTAGCCCCGGTTTGTATCCAAGCCGTGTATTCTGCTATCTTAAACGACTATAGGAATTCCAACTTCTGTATTTTCTACACGGACGCCTCTGTTGGCCCCAGTTCGGCAGGCTGTGGTGTGTACAACTATACTAATTCAAGTGAGTATACCTTTAAAATCAATCATCCTCAACCTATGCCGAAATACCAGCCATTTTGAAAGCTCTGCAAATTGCCAAAGAGACTAATTATAACAAAATTTTAATATTTACTGATAGCCTTACTGCCTGTAATCTCCTTGCAAGACGTATAGACGTATAACCACCTCATTCTTGAAGTTCATAACCTAATCCAAGCAGCAGACTTTTACAATGTGTCCATTATCTGGACTCCCAGCCATGTCGGCATCGCAGGTAACGAAACTGCCGACTCTTTAGCTAAAACAGCGGTAAGCTGTGATAACATCCTTGACGTTAAATTAACAATTGACGAAGCGCTCAGAAACATACGTAACACAATTTACAATAAATGGTATGAAGATTTCCTTATCTTTTACAGCAACAAACATAGCCTTTTTGCACAAATCTGTACTCAGAGACCCCAAAAACATGGTTCAACAAATTTAAAAGAAGTCCTAGGGAAATTCAAATACTGAATCGAATCCTAAGCGGCTACACTTACGACAATGAGTACCTTTATCGTATTAATGCGATAAATTTTAATACTTGCAGATGTGGAGTCTGATGATTATATTCACCAGACCTCCCACTTTCCCTCGCTTGCTGGCGCTCGAGGGCTTCGAAGGCATACTAAACAGCGCTGATTTTTCCGATATCTTTCGCGGCTTTGACTTCTGCAAAATCACTCTGCTTGCTGAGTTCCTAACTAAAGTTGAAGCTAAATTCTAAAATTTTAATATAACATTAATCATGAACATTACTTATCACGGGTGGAAATACCGTCCTCCTCACTCAATCCTCCCTGTCCTTCCCTCCATTATACCTTCACTCATTCATCACTGTTCGGTCTTAAATGACTGTCCCATCGCACAAGTCAACTCAACTATCTCATCTTACACGCACATCTGATTCACCTCAAATCGCTCCTTTTGACGTCCACGATCTTCTACACGGATTACAATACTACATCTCAACTTATCCGCCACTTACCTCTGCAGTCTTTCGAACAAACAAAGATGTCCAGCTTAAGTCAACGATAAAGACGACTCACATGCCATTGATCACCTCGGTTTAGTTACACTGTCCAACAACCTTTTGGATCATTCAACAAGAGATTAGCTACGCGAACGCAACTATCATCACTCATCAAGTGCTACTGCACAGTACGCTTTATCCTCAAGGTACACCTTCGTGTAACACGTCAGAACTATTCAAGCAGAGGGATAACCTGGCGTTGGGTAACTTCCCATCGAACTCAAAACAAAAAAAAAAAAAAAAACCTTATCAGTACAACGAAGGCCTGGAAGTGGAAGAAAAGAAGGATTTGTGTCGCAGTCAAAGGCCAAAGAAGTATTGCCATTATTTCGAAAAAAAACCTGGCTTTTCACTTCGACATGCTGCAAAAAAGGTCCATATGTCGAAAGGTTACGTCCAAAAACTGCGCAAAAGTGAAGGTTTACGATCATATAAAAAGATTGTAGCCCCAAATCGAAATGATAAACAAAATAAGATTGCTAAAAGCGTGCGCGAAAATTATACAGTCAAGACATTCTTAGATATGGATGTGTGGTTATGGACGATGAAACATACGTCAAAGCAGACTTTAAACAGATTCAGAGCGTAGAGTTTTATACTGCAACAAAGAGAGGTGGAGTGACAGGTGCCTTCAAACTAAAAATGATGGACAAGTTCCCTAAACAATTTTTGGTGTGGCAAGCCATCTGTCAGTGTGGTATGAAAACCAAAACATTCATTACCACGGGCACAATACATCAAGAAATTTTTATAAAGGAATGTTTGCAAAAACGTTTGCTGCCATTCATTAAACAACATCAAGGCTGTTCTGTTCTGGCCCCATTTAACGTTGTGCCATTACAGCCGTCTTGCCATGAAGTGGTATGAAAGCAATGGGGTAAATATTGTTGAAAAGGACCACAACAAAAACCAAACTGCCCACAATTGCGACCCATTGAATAATATTAGGCAATTGTTAAAAGAAAATTGCTAAAGATGAAAAAATACGCCAAAAATTAGCAGCAGTTTAAAAGGAATTGGCAGAGAGCAGCAGATACCGTCACAAAAACTGATGTCCACCGCTTAATGAGCGGGTTCAAATCTAAACTGCGCCATTTGGTTTATCTTAAAGAGAATTGAAATGAGTTTTTCGTTGAATATAGTAAACTTAATAAAGAAGATAATAAAACAAAAATAGGATTTCCTTGCTTGTATAATTTGTTGTTATAATGATTTTCGACTGACCAAAATTTTTCGTGTCCATTCTTTATTTCAACAATAGTCAAATAAAGTATACTCATCATCAGCTTTCTGACAATATGGCATTGATAATTATGTCAAAAAGGAGCTACTAACTTTAGAGTCGACTTTATTTTGACTATGAATATGCCCGATTTTTATTTATTTTTTTTTTAAATCAGTGTTAGAGTATCTCCTTACGCCTCTCAACGCTACCAGCGACCACTCTGCCAACGGAATAGATTTTTTTAAGATTGATAATGGTGAGTTTTGACCGGCTTTATTACATAAATATCCCTGTGTGCATCGGTTTAAGTTAAATGATTATTTTGTATATGCTTTAGACTTTATTGAACACTTTGTTTCATACATATTTAAGCATAAACGTCACGTTGCGCTTTCTCCCATGCTGAGATAGGCCCATGTTCCGGCCGGTATTTCACATTACAGCCATCTGGTTCCAAACGATTTTCATCACGCAGTTGTTCATAGCGGTCACGATCATATTTAGTGAATCCCCATCTTTTAGAAACGTAAATCTAAAAAAAATATATATATATATATATATTAATAAAATGTTTGTACATATACATACATACATATAATGTATTTCTAAGAGAAATTTCAATTTACATAAATTCAGAAAGAATGAGGAAAATCAATAATTACTAGTTTAATTCCGATAAAACTGCATATTTGTGTAAGTTTATATAACAAGTAATTGTTCTGGGTTGTTGGACGATGCACTGGTGTGCTTCATAGAGACCGAGCCTCAAAACTCATTTTTAACCCTAGAATACTAACTTTATTTTTTATTCCTTTAATACTAACGTTCGCCTGTGAGGCTACTTTGAAAAAAAGTGTAAATTTTGTCTTTTTAAAACTTTAAGTTTATTTAAAAAATGGACTTAAACATATTTCATATGTTTCTAAAGTAAAAAAATAAAATAATTTAATATTTTTTTTTTTAATAGTAGTAAAAATAAATCGTTTTGAAACTTAACACATATTTTATCACCTTTTTGAGGGGTAATGTTTAAAAATACAAATAAAAATATTTTATAACGAACGAGGTTTTCGTCACTGTACAATGTGCCTCTGCTAACAACCTCGTACAACGCTAAACTGAGTTGGCGTGAACGCTTGCTTTGATCATAAAAAGCGTTCCTGAAATATCGCGCGAAAACCGAACCGAGGGTTAAAATGTTGGGTGTACGGAAAAAAATGAGAGTCCTAACGAAATACCCCATCATCTCGTGTAAAAATATTGGGTTCCTAACTGCTAAAAGTTTGGACCGTACAGATTCCAAAATTGTTTTCCCCGATATCGAAAGCGGCGGACAATTGGAAGTACGCACTGATAGGTTTATGCAGGGTGTATAAGGCGATACTCCAGAAGTATCCCGCCCTGCACCAGTCGTCCGTGATGCTGGGTGGCATCAAGGGCGGGTAAAGCTGGTGGCGTGTGCGGATGAACGCGCGGTCCGGCTTTACAAGGAAGCGATCTCCATGGTTGGACAGCTGTGGCCCGGGGCAGACTTAGTTGCCGTTCATAGGGATGAAATCCCTAACAGGCCGCGAGGCTGGGCCTGGGTCCCAGCTGAACCATCGAATCCGGAGGAGATTCTGGACTTTATCCAACTGGGCAACGAAGGGCTGCCCACAAGTGATTGGAGGATAGTCCGAGTTGGCGAGACCAAGAGGATGCAGCGTTTTGTTGGCTTTGTCATCAATGATGCTTCCGTCCCAGTTCTCGTGGGTTGTGGTGGGGTAATAAGCTATGGCTTTTACTCCATCACGGTAGAAACCCACCGAGTCGGCATCGGTGGCACACAGCGCGGGATCCACAGGAAACACCACGAGTGGACCTGGGGACCTACCAACGGGTGTACCCGATACCGCGTCAGATACTGAGAGCGACATGGGCTCTGTATCTGCCTACATAGGGTCGATATACAGCCGGTGGGTAATGCTGAACGAGGACCAGCTACTGGACTCCTAACCGGAGGAGGAGGATAATGACGTCACAGTCATTGCCACCGCCGAACGGGAGGAGCTAGAAGCAATGGACACCACCGACTCTGAAGATGGTGCAGATAGTACAAATTAATCTGCACCATTCCAAGGCAGCCTCGGTTGGCCTTCTTCTTCGTCTCATCGATAAAGCTGAAGACTTGATTCTAGGCCAAGAGCCTTGGATCGTTAGAAACAAGGTTTGCGGGCTGAACTCTGATGCCTACCAAGTCGTAACAGCTCCAGTAGCAGGGGCCTTATTCTGTAACTCGAATCGAAAGTTGATTCTATTCGAATTTGTTATTCGATTCGAATTTGTTTTAGCATTCTGTAAAAGTTTCGGATTGAGTTTTTTGTTTTGCGAAAGTTGTACCACCCTGTGCCAAAATTTTCGAATGTCAAACGTCAAAATACATAGAAGGAAAACAAATAAATAACTAATTTAAATTAAATAATTGTTATTAATTTTATAAACAAAAAAATGGATTCTGTTGCATTGTGGATAAACGAAGAAATTAATGAAGAGAGAAATGCAAGAAGGGCTATTAGAAATCATTTAATTATTGATGAATTATCGGAAAGAAGGTAAATGCATACATATGTAATGTAACCGGCTATAAACTTGTTAGTGATTATATATTTGAAATTATAGCTTCATAAAAAATGTTCGGCTTTCCAAGGAAGCCTTCAATTATGTGTTGAGAAGCATAGATCACGAATTACATGCACCTATAAGATCTACGGCAGTAACTCCGACAGTAAAACTTGCTGCTACTTTAAAATTTCTTGGGCAAGGGGCTATCAGCACCAAATAGGGCAAGACCGTTTTGCAGGATTAGCGCAATCCACGACTTCTAAATGTATCACAGAAGTGGTCAATGCGATTGAAAAAACTTCATGTCCGAAGCACATCAAATTTGAAATGACCGTGCAAGAAAAACCTGAAGCCAAAAACCATTTTTATTCAAAATTTGGATTACCAGGAATAATAGGTGCTGTTGATGGTACCCATATCCATATGGTTAGGCCGGTAAAGGATGAACATCTGTTCTTTAATCGGAAGCTAAAGCATAACATCAATGCAATGGTGGTAAGTGTTTAATACTTACAAGTTTTTGTTCATACCTTTTCATAACATTCTTTATTAGATTTGTGATCACAAGACGTGGAGGATGGTTCCGTGCGCAGAAGTGGAAAACTTTTGACTGCCA